TGAATATAATTGTTATAAGGCCAAAAAATAACAAAAACAAATAAATTAAGGACGAGCACACCTAAAAGTTAAACATTTTAAAAATAGAATTATTAGCAAAAACCAACAACCACATGATCAAGTGAATTGCGGCGGAATAGCTGCGCTTGATTGTGTTGGCATAACAAAATGAAAAAGTGGAAAAAAAAAGCAACGATAATTTACAAGGCGAGCTTAGCACAGGGCATAGGCAACTGGCTGAGTCAGTGGGATCGTCGGTTCAAAGTCTACTGAAAGAAGTCTGATGAGGAAATGTGGTGATTTCCGAAATAGCTATCACTTCTACCAATTTTTCACATTATTGTGGCTTTTCCACAATAAGTTTTTCATTAAAAACGGCCTCAAGCTCATTAAAAATTGTTGAATATAATAGTTATACGGCCAAAAAATAACAAAAACAAATAAAATAAGGACGAGCACACCTAAAAGTTAAACATTCTAAAAATAGAATTATTAGCAAAAAGCAACCAAATCTACAACCACATGATCAAGTGAATTGCAGAGTAATAGCTGCGCTTGATTGTGTTGGCATAACAAAATGAAAAAGTGGAAAAAGCAACGATAATTTACAAGGCGAGCTTAGCACAGTGCATAGGCAACTGGCTGAGTCAGTGGGATCGTCGGTTCGAAGCCTACTGAAAGAAGTCTCATGAGGAAATGTGGTGATTTCCGAAATAGCTATCACTTCTACCATTTTTTCACATTATTGTTGCCTTTCCACAATAATCTTTTCATTAAAAACGGCCTCAAGCCCATAAAAATTGTTGAATATAATTGTTATAAGGCCAAAAAATAACAAAATAATAAAACAAATAACCTAAGGACTAGCACACCTAAAAGTTAAACATTCTAAAAATAGAATTATTAGAAAAACCAACAAAACCAACAACCACATGATCAAGTGAATTGCAGCGGAATAGCTGCGCTTGATTGTGTTGGCATAACAAAATGAAACAGTGGAAAAAAGCAACGATAATTTACAAGGCGAGCTTAGCACAATGCATAGGCAACTGGCTGAGTCAGTGGGAT